AAAAAAAAAAAAAAAACTGCAGCATTAAAATGTTCAGTCTAAAATGTAGAATATTTTAGACATTAAGCAGTTCTTTGACAGCAAATTGAAATATTTGCAGTAAAGTGATAATGGCTGACTACGGTTGTTTTAGCTTGTTGAAGCTATTTTCTCCTCAAATATATTAAGATTATTTAAATGTGATTATCTAAATGAATCATTCAGTCAAAGTGAGAAAATCAAACAATCGTTTCAAATTGTACAGTATTTTGAAAAATTTAATCTTCAAATAAGTTGAGACGTCAAAGCATATATTTATGGTAAATTAGCATATTGATCAAGGAATTATATGCTTCAATTTCTTTTGTTCCTGCTTCTTAAAGTATCTGAAACTAAAAAAATTGACTATAGTTAATAATTTGATTCAAATAAAAAAAATGAAAGAAATATAATAAAATTTTGAAATTCTCTTTACTTATTACTGATTTTGGATTCCAGACAATGTGACCATCAGAATCCATAAACCATTCATCCGGGAATTGTTTTGTTTTCATATTGTTTTGCATATTTTGCTGATCTTTGATATCATCGGTATTTTCCTTTCATAAAAAAACGAGTAATGAAACTTATTAAACAGGAACTCAAATTTTTTCAAAGTATTCTAATAAACAAGTCATGAGTAGTAGGGAAAGCAATATTATTCGTCTTCATTAAATACGTTTCATTAAATATGTGTATACGAATGAATGATTTGAAATGAAACAAAGTGATAGTGGTGATAAATTAACGTAAAAAATAAACTTACTTATTGTTCAGTTTCACAAATGAAATTTAATGAAATGCAGCAGGTGAAACAAATCAGTTGCAGCGTCTAAGTGTTGATTTAAAAAGTGGAAGAAAAAGGTTAAAAACATAAATGATTCATTTTTAGTGCTGAAAAAACTAAATTGTTAATGAAGTATAAAAATTAATTTACCTAAATAAATGTTATCACTAGTTTGAGAAGTGGAATCAGAATGCACAACTCTATCTCCTTTTTCATTCTGTCTTGCTATACTTTCTCCAAACGGATTATTAAAAGGATTGTAGTTTGAAGACTTCGAAAATTCGTTGCCGTCATCAGTTGTTTTTAACGATTGATGAGCGGTTGCCAAATTACTTTCGATCAGTTTAGGAATTAAAGCAACAGCACCTGTTAGTAGGTCATCAGATGCTTCTTCTTCTTCTTCTTCTGGTATCACAGTTTGAATTTCAGATGGAAGACTTAACTCTAAAATATCCAAGAGTTTAAAAAAAATTAGAAATGTCTAATTTTCATCATCCATTTCAAAACATGAACTACCGAAAAACAAAACCTCTTTTTATGAATAATTTATACTTGTTTCAATGTGCTGTTTTATTGTTACACGTAGAAATTGTTTTATTTTGATGTTTGAGATTTAATTATAAAAATTGCTAAAAAACCTTTCGGGAACAGTGGTTCGCCATGCAAACTTTCTTCTTCAAGTGGAACAGCTATAACATCCATCGGTTCTGGTACGTGTGGGGGTAAAGGCCTTGCTCTAAATCAAACTTAAAATGATAAATGTTACAGAACTAAATGCTTTGAAGTGTGCATCCAAGTTATTATATTTAAAATTACTTATAAAGTGGTGGAAATGGATTATCTGGACTCTTTGATAATGGATTAATAGGATTTATGCGCAGTCTAGAACTTGTACCTTCTTTACCACCACTAATGATTTTTCCAACAAAAGGTATATTGTCATACGAAATATCAGCATACCAGTAAGGTGCTGCAAGCAGAAACCTTTCATACCACAAATATGTAAATTAAATAAGTATTCTGATTACTTTCTAATATATGCCAAAATTAAATTTGACAAGAAAAAAGTGGAAAAAAAATAAGCACTGAAAACTCCCAGTCCAGGCCCATAAGCAGTGTGAGCATTCAGGAATTCATTGATCAAATAAGTTTTCTTGACATCAGCTGTCACTTGCGACATTGATATCTTAAGAAAAGTCATAAGTAAAATCCACATTACACTTCACTTTTATGTGCTCAGCCTGAAGTTAATCGAGAATGATTTTGGTATCGACGTATTGCGAATTCAAGTGAAATTCTATTTGAATCATCACTATAAACGTTGAAATTACACTTTTCAAGCAAAATTAAATTTTATGGCGTGAAGAATTTGCAGCAGCTGCAATTGATACTGAGTAATAAAGTAGAAGTAATAAAATAATATCAAAAAACTAGTCGCAGTTGAGTTGAGATTAATTATAATTTTGGTATTTAGATTATAAAGTTTATTTCAAGACCTAAATTTACTTAAAATCAATTTCTTTGATAAATATTTGTATCCCATTGAATCCATTTGAACTGAAATAACTTTTCTACAACGCACATTTTGGATTGCTCGCATTCTTTAATAACTAACTACTAAATTCTTTTCTAAGAATTTTGACTCTTTATCTTTCTTCAGTGATATTTCTAGAATTAAATATTTCCCTTTCTCGTAGTTTTGTGCTATTTTCCAGACTGAATGAGTTGGGTAATCATATATTAAATCGTTGGGTATACGGATACCGTATAATAATTTTCTGAGTTACTCATATTCATTTTTGTAATCTGTAAATTAAAATTTTTAAAAAAAAAAAATTTCCTCTAATATTTGCATTAAAAGTTTGAAATAATTTTTAATGCATGCAAAGTTTCATATTTTTAAATAATTGATTGAATCATAATTACAATTGCATTATTTGCTAAAAATGTTCTACTTCCTTAATTAAAAGTGTGAAAAATATTAATGTGTTTGAGTATTTGTTTGTATTCACGTTATGAGCAAATATTTTGTAGCCAAAATGCGTGAACTGTTGTAAATATTACAATAAATAATGCATTTTAAAAAACTTCTTCATCAGAAATAATAATCAATTGAAATTGATAATAATACAACATGCAACTGATTTAAATGCTAGAAGGCAAGAAGTTGAATGATTTGTACCAATTAAGATAAAAATAATTACAATCAAAAAGCTTCAAGTTGCTGTTTTTGTACGGTGCATTCAGTCAACAAACAAGCATTATCACCAATGATTAGCACTAATAACAATGATATGTGCAAGATAAATCAGCTTCTCGAAGTTTCACTCAAAAACAGCAAAAAATTCAGCAAAATGATGATGTTGGAGAAAAGTGTTGATGAACATTTAGTCTGAGAAGTTATTTTTGCTTACTTCGGCATTGCTTTCGATTACATCTTCTTTAACGTTATTTCTTTGTACTCAAAAATTGAAATTGGATCAGTTCTAACAACTAAACTAAACTTTGAATTGAACATCAACTTTAAGTTTTTGTGCCATTTCGTTAAGAATTACATTTACTGGTCGTTGCTTAGTTTCTGGACAATAACGAAACATCAGAAGAAATAAGAGAATAGATGGAAGAATGAAAATAAGGAACGAATAACCACCAAAAGTAGTTGCAAGTGGATAAAATCCAAAATCTAAAATAATTTTTGTGGATGATTCAATGAGTGATAGGATGGTAACAGTTTGAAGTAGCATACTTTTTGGTACCAATTCAGCAGAATAGAATCTTGATATTGAACCAATACCAAGTGATGTTGTAAAGAGTAACATCGATACACTGAGAAGTGTTCCTAGCTAAAAAAAAAAACTCTTCTTAATTGAGATCAGAATATTATTATTGTCAAACATTTTTTTATTTTAATATTTAATAAATATTTATTTTATCAATGATAAATATTTGCTTATCAATCAAAATGTTATAAATAATTTTTTGGGTTATTGTTAAAGGAAACAATCAAACAAACAAACAAGTTAATTGATAAAATTCAATTCAAAAGAATTCCCGCGAAATTTTGAAATTTTTTCAGATTGATTTTTCCAACATTGATAAGAAAGATAAAATGTGGATGGATAACTGCAAGTTACTTGAGCTCCTTCACCAATACAAGTGGAAACCATTGTCACTGATAGGAAAAGTATGCTCATAAACTCTGATAAAATTATCATCGGTCTTCTCCCAACACTTTCAATGATAAAGATTGGTATCACTGATAAAGGCAAGCGAATAATAGTGTTAACAAGTGAACCCCACTGTAAACATTTCATTTATCCTTATTATTCGCTTCTATTTTAATACTAATAATATCGGATTACTGACCATGAACATTAAATAAACAAAGTTAATTACTGAAAAGTTTTGAAATATTTTTAATGATCATTTTTGTCCATTACACTATTATGCAATTAGATAAATTTAAGAGACCAAAAGTATTGCTTGAATTTCATCTCAAAATCATTATGAATTATTATAGATTTTAAATTATATGATTGCATTACTACTTTTTTGAATTCTAAAATTATTCTGGATATAATTCAAATAGTATCATTTTTAAATACAAAAATACATTATTATAATTAATCGATGAAAAATAATTTTATTATTTTTTCAAATTACTACTTCATACGCATTTGCAGCTGAAGTCGAATGAAGTAAATAATTAACAAAAATTATACAAACCTGTGAAAAGTTTCGTGACCATTTGGCTAAATCGTAATAAATGAATGTATTGAATGATCGTAAGACTCGTGCACCCGTAAATACATAGGCGATCTGAAAAAATAATCTAAAAAACTGCTATTATAAATTCTACAGAAATACTAGTAAATACTTTTATGATAATACTGAAAATGCGAGCATAATTTTAAAATTAGTTTCAAGCAACTTTTTTTTTTCTTAAATAAAATAGAGTGACAAATTAATCAAACAAAGAAGGCTAAAATTACGATTCACCTTGACCATTATTCCAACCCAAGCACCGAATCGTATCACAGTTGAAAGAGGATCGCCAGCCTTCCATGGCATAAACATTACTTGAAATCCATTTGGTCGTTCTGAATTATCTATGCTCTTTTTTCTTTCTTCTTTTTTTTCACCATCTTCTTCACATTTTCTTACTTGCTTATCAATATCAGTATCATCTTTCAAACCATGATAAGCTCGAATTGCAAGTGCAGCCTACAGTTAAGATTCTAAATTGCTTCTGATTTATTGAAATTTTCCGATTAAATTTTTCAAATGATTTGAAAAATATAATTAAGTAATATAAATCTAATCTGCATATGATAAAAAAATTAAAGACATAAAATGACATTCAATTTAATATTTAGCTTATATAACAACTCTTCAAACTGCAATTATAAATAAACTGAAAACTATTTAATTGTTTAATAAAATATTGAGAAAATCAGCAAACTTCTTGTCGATTATGAACAAACATTAGAGAATACTGAGGTGATTCATACATGAAAATAAATACTATTAAACAAATAATAGTGATAACTAGAGGCAGCAAAAACATCAACGGCCAAAGCTGAGGTGTTGATAATGGCACTCCAATTGCTTGCGTTAATAAATTACCTTAATAACTTAATACGTTACTGTAAAAATAGGTACTTTTTACATAATATGAATATTTATTTGAAACAATTTTCCGACATTTTTTTAAAAGGATCAAAAAATATATCAATATATTTAAATTATCTCAGTTTTTATTTTTTATGAGTTTAGAATCAAGAACTTCTTAGTTGTATAAAGTTTAGAATCCAGAACTTTTAAGTTGTAAGTCATAAGAATGAACTGGTGCAAATGTTTATTTAAAAGTATTCACTGATAACAGTACTTTAATAAGAATGCTGGATTTGTTTTTATTTATTTTTACTGAAAAAAGATTTTTAGTAAGTATTTACGTGCTAAATGTAATTTGTTTAATATTTGAATGTATTTTAGTTAAAAATTTTGTGTCTTAAAGCGCTGCCGTATTTTTTAAGTTTTTTAGACAATTTTTTTCTAAGAGCACAACGTTATTGCATCAATGATTCAAGAAAATATATACCAGCCGTAGCAATTACTTCTTGCCAAGAGTTCACACGTCCACGCTGCGTAGGTGGCGCACTTTCTACTACCCAAACTGCCTGAACAACTATAGCAAGACCATTCGCAGTACCCCAGAGAAAACGCCCCAGTACTAAAACCTCGTAGTATGGAAAAAATATCCTCGTAAGCATCGAAAGAATTAGTGCTAAAACATTCTTGTAAGCATCGAAATAAACAGGGCTATTTACAATGCTAGCTGCATTTGCCCAAAATTAGACGCAAATAATTAACTGATAATGGCATAACCTAAACCAAAATCTTTTTAAAATGTATAGCAAACAGCAAGATAAGAAAATGAAGGTACAGCTAAGTAATATCTGTACTTACCAAAAATAATTCCAAATATTAGCAATTAATTTTCAAGTTTTGCTTAATAATTTTACGTTTATTTTGAGTACAACAAATCATACGAGGTTTTACCCTCATTAAATGTGTACTAGCGGTTAACAGTAATTACTGATGTGCATATTTCCTGAAAATTCAGGAAATATACACATCAGTAATTTTATTTTAGCTTTGATGTATAATTGGTTCTTTTCGCAGTGATGAATTTCATACCAGGAATAGCTATAAGACAAGAAGTGATAGCTGTCCAGCGACGACCAATGCGATCACAAATTAAATATGCAATCAGTTGACCAACAATACCCGATATTGGGTTCATAACATTGATCACAGACCAGATAAAATTTAAAGTCAATGGATCAATTGGTTTGCCAGTTCGGGCTATTGTAGATTCATTAATGAACTAGAATTCAATTACATTGATGAGTTGCACTACTTTAAGCATTATATTTCCGAAGGAAATAAAATTTTGTAGAAGTACAGCTGTAAATACATACCTGATGTACTTCCAAATATGGCTGATTCAATATGGAAAGTAAATATGCTTGTTGAAAATTTCCATTAAAAGATGAGGCCAACGATAAAGATGCCAAGTATACTGATAAACCCATATAACTTAAAATTTATCTTAGAAACTATAATCACTATTGAATTCGTGAAAGAAATGGTAAGCTATTTGAAACAAATCATTTGAGGTTCCACCCTCATGAAATGTGTACTAGCGGTTAACAGTAATTTAAATTATGACTTGATAATAATAATAATAATAATAGTAATAATAATAATAATAATAATAACATTAATAATAATAATAATAAATAATAATAATAATAATAATAATAATGATAATAATAATAATAATAATAATTATTATTATTCAAATTTTTTTAGTAATAATTTTGATAATAATAATTATTATTAACAAGTTAACAGTAATTTGAGCTACTACTTGAATAATATTAATTATCATTATAATAATAATAATTATTATTATTATTATCACTATCATTATTAATTATTATTATTATTCTGGATTTATTTGAGATTTTTTGATGATCACAATGAATTTGCTAGTGCCGTGATTTCCATATTTTTATGAATAACTTCACTTCAGTCTTTTTTAAAAAGTTATTAAACTACAAAAATATCAATAAAGTAAAATAAATTTCAAGTTTGGTAATTTTATTCATCTTAATTAAAAATGCTAGCTACTTCAAAATACTTTTAATTTATTTTAAAGCAAATTAAAAAATCCAAAATAATAATTCAACTAGCCAAAATAATTTAATTAGTCGAAAAATAATAAATTTAATAATAAGAGGGTAGTCCAAAATAATTTAATTTATTCTGAAGCAAATTTAGCAAAAAATAGCGCAAGATTTTTGTGTCGAAAAATGCAAACAAATTTATTATAGTGAATAGTGGCAATTTATTCAGAAATTTGTACTACACAATAAGAAAATGGCAATCATTAAGCAACATTTGAAATGATTATTATTTAGCATAGAAAGAAAGAAAGAATCGAAAACTTGCAATTAATACAGATAGAATAATTTTAAATGAAATCTTTTCATTTGACAGAAGAAGTAAATTACATAAGACATTATCACTTATGTAGCAAATAAATCATAAATATAAAATCAGTCTCACAAACTTTTTATCATTTTCAGAAATAAAAGAATTCAGTAGTCTGATAAATAATTTCAGTTATTTTACGCAAAATAATTGGAGATATGAAGCGAAGTTCAAAGCGTCTCAACGTCTTTTGTATTTTAAATTTTCTTATCGCTCTTGCAAGCAATTTTTGTGACCGATACTCCTCATACTTCATTTTTCAATTGTATTAAGTAATTAATTGTTTAATAAAGTTTCTGAAATTTTAATTTATCAATATTTCTGGCTTTGATCAGTGGTAGCATAAAGGTATATGTTGAAGTTGAAGCAAAAATATTTGTTTAGCAATGAAAAAAGTTAATTTTTGAATAAAGCAAAGATCATCAGTCATTTTTAATAATATGATAAAAATTATTGTTTATAGCTGATAACGTGCAAATTAAAATAAAAAATAAGGAAAAATAAAAGTATAAAATTGTGCTTAAAGATTTGAAACTGAAACGCACTTTTCCAAACTTATCAAACTTACTATTAACGCATTATTTGTACTCAAATTTAACGCATTACTTGTACTCAAATTTAACGCAACAGTATTTCACCAGCAGAGAGTAATTAAATACAAATTATTCTTTTATTATTCAAAATGAAATTCAATTTATTTGACTACTAAAGTAACCTTAGACATACTTCTGATATTACTTCTACCAATTCAAACATAATGACAAACTTTTCAAATATATTATATTCACATAATCATAAAGTTACAGGAAAACGGAAGCAATTTTTAATCATCACATCCTAATGTTGTGAATCAGAAAAGTGGCATAAATAAAATTAGCAAAAGATAAAATTGATAATACTGGAGATAACAAACAAGCTTCGCTATCTCCAGTATCATCGCTAATATCGATATTTGATTTCTTGATAATAAGCTCGAATTTTCAAAATGATAAGCGAATTTTCGAAAACGTTACTATCATTAGTCACAGTACTACATCGTTGACAGTATTAATACTGATAAGAATCTTGAACATAGCTGTAATATTTGTTTTTATAAAAGTAATGAAATATAATATAGTTTAATTCTTCGAAGCAAACGAAAATTATGTTACTGCTTTTAGTTATAACTTTTCTAGATTATAATTTTTTACTGATACAAACTTACTTTCTAACAGATTATTTTAACACTATTGAAAAACTGTAAAAAATTTTAAACGATTGTGTGATCATCAATACATTTAGTTAAACTTTGCTGGCACAATTTCACTATACTGGCTATTAATGCAAAATAATTATCAACAAATGCAATAATTGGAATAGTTGTGTTCAGTATGAAATAATCTTTGTTATTCCGTAAAGTTTGGTAGTAATTACGAGAATAAATAGTTGCCACATATAATTTGACTAACTTTTGTTGTTGTGAGCAATGTTGATAAATACTTGATAAGCGATAAAAATTCTTCTGCGATAACAAACATAACTCAAGTACTGCTGTACTAAGAAACTATTTCTAAAATACTTATATTCGTATTTTGCTGCATGCAAAAGTATCTGCGCTGTATGAAACTTATGGATTTTGATAGCAGCCAATTCTTCGATAATTTTTACAAAAATAAAATTAAAATCAAAATCAAAGCCAATATAATCTCAATATAGACAATGCTAAACTGACAGGATATTTTGAAGGAAAATAAATCGTTTATTTTTTTGTTTACACAAAATATGCAAAGTTTTAATACTGATAAAATAAAATGCACTGACAAAGCAATAAATTGAAAACGATATAACTTTTCATTCAATTGTTTTTACTGCTAGCAATGAATATTTGAGTTGCAATGTATTTACTCATAACATAACATGTAGTAATCAAATTAGTAACCAATTATTTTACCAAAAATTCAAGTTTTTGCAGTTCAAGCATGGACCTTCAAGGTCAGTAAACAAACTGCCATCTCATAGCATTTGATCGCTTCACAAACTTTATTTGCTTAAACTGCATCATTTAATCATGTGAAAAATGATAAAAATAAATAATTATATAAAAAAGCAATAGCTGAAAAGCTTAGAGTGCTTGTATTATTTGTTAACAATTAGCAAATAAAAATAATCTCATTGTGCTGAATTACTCTATCACATTAATTGGCCTGCGTATTGAAAAATAATCCCATATTATCCTTTTATATGTTACTGCCTTAGTCTAATCTTTGTAGAATAGTGTTAAAACAAATACAACTTTTATGAAAGGCCAAAGTTCATTAGTGTTTTTTTTTGTGCTGCAAAATTACGTCACACGCTTTGTAAATAATGCACTTTATTGGCAAGCCTTTAAACTATGGAAAATAATTACACAAATTCATACTTCATTTCAAAAAAAACAAATTTTTACCATGAAATGACACTATTTTGAACTATTTTTTCATATTTTTGGAGCATGAAAATTAGTAATCACATGCGCAGATTAAAGGCTGATTTTAAAAAAAAAAACTTTTCAGAAAAATCAAATTAAAATTACTGTAAACAGTTTTTCAGATTTGCTAATCTAGCAGAAATGCTTCTGTACTATATTACTGTTAGCTCTTTCCATGATTCTTATTTCATATTTTTCCATTTCAAATATTTAGCATAGCTTAGCATATGTCATTTCCGTTTTATTGACTTCAATGTCATCCATATTGTCAGTTGCTGTCCACAACACATTATTAATCACTACTGAGAAATACTCACAATGTATATCCAAATTTAGCAGAAGCAGATATATGAATAACATTAAAAGTAATTCAATACTGATTTTTATTAATAGACCAAGCCAAATCTTTTACTCTCCGTTCATTTCAAATCTAGAGATGATAACATTTCAAAGTTTGTAGCATGCGACGGAAATGCTCAATGCTTGAAAAAATTTGCAGCTTCAATTATCAATGTTGCAATGCGTATTCAAAATATTTATTGTGTTGGGTGGGTCTGTATTTATCTGTTGCTGTCAGGAGGGTCATTTAGCAGTAAGAATCATGCATGTGTATGAGCATATTTATAAGTTGTGTGGGAAAGAAAATTTTTTTGATTTTATTTCAGGTACTGAAAGTCAGGCAAAAACCAAAAATGATGAATTCAGAGCTATTAGATAAAAACTTTGGAGTATGTTTCCCTGAAGAATTAGATGGTGTGTTGAATACTCAGTCTGGCACTGCAAACTGTTGTAAATTCAACCGATGGGGTTCTCTTATCGCCGTGGGAAGTATTGATGGTCGCGTATATATTTTTGATGTGATAACGAAGGGTGTAGTTAAAGTAAGTAATACAGTTTTGTTAATTCTTCTTTATCGATCTGATCAAAAATATGAATTATGCATTAATTATTATTGTTATTTGTTGTATATTAGTCCTATCTATTATTTCATAATACATTTGAAAAAATCGGGTGTTATGCTAGAGTTGGGTATGTCATGGTTACTCGATAACGTCATTAAGTTGGTCTCGTGATGGACGTAAGTTGTTAACAGCTAGCAATGATTGGTCTGTCGCAGTCTGGGATGTTATGGAAGGAATGCGGATTGAGAGACAGATTTACGGATCACCTGTTTTATGCGCAATGTTCAATCCACGGTTGGTTTATTTGCAGCATGAATATATGATTAATGTTTATGCCATTTTTGTGCAGTAGTCCATATCTTTCATCTAACTAATTAAAAGTGAAAAAAACAAATTGAAAAAACTCTAAAGACGATTTTGCCAGAAAAATGATTACTAGTTAATGGAAATCTTTTCCTAATGTTAATAGAGACTATAATAGCGACACAATGGATCAGGAACGGTATTATTATTACCATTCAGTATGTTCATTCGAGATTTGTCTTGTATTTACATACTCAATTATCTTTACAGAAATGATAAGCACGTTTTAGTTGTATATTTGGGTGCTTATCCAGTTCTTCTTGATTTGGAAGCAAAGCGACAAACTGAAGTACTTATTTTTCTTTCATATTGTTACCGATTGTATTTGATTTTTTAATAGAACTATTCCTGTAACGCATTTTGTTCTCTGTGTAACTTCAGTGTACTCTAGATAAAGTATTCGGAGGAAATTGATGATCAACCAGGCGAAGTCACCGTTGGAACATTTGATCGTCGTGGAAAGTATATAGTTACTGGTAGTAGTAAAGGTCGTATTGCCTTTTATGATGCGAAAACATTGGAACTTATCACTTACGTCAAACAGAATGCTGCACATCAGGTATATTTAAATTCCGTCATGGAAAATATTTTTTTGAGCTAGCAAATTATTACTGTTTTTTGGAATTATCTTAAAAATACGTAAAATATTTTCTTTAAATTTTATATAGATATTTTTTTCAAAGTATGTGTTTTTCGCAATTCTGTGCAAGTTTTTCAGATAAAAAATATTTTAATTACTCGTCGTGGTGATTTCCTGATAACGAATTCTCAAGATCGAATTATACGAACATATAAACTAGATACATTGCTGCAACGGCAGTGTGGGAGTGTTATCGAGCCATTGCAGAAGCTTTTAGATATAATTAACAGGGTTTTTATTCGTCTACCTTCTTTTCTCTTTTGGTTGGAAACTACACTTGTAAACACTTTATTTAATCACACAATCCTTAAGCTAGGATGTTTGAAATCTGTAAAATTCAATTTATATATATATCATGTTCAGCAGGTCAGAGGTTAATCTTCTTGATTCTCGCGTTGGGCCGTGTTCTGCACTCTTATTGTACGTACCAGCACTCAGTTCTGCTGGTTCCTGTACACTAGTTGAGTGCTTTCTTATATCTTTCACGAAGCTTTTTTCAGCAACCTCACCTGTTTTCGATTTGTTTTCATATATGATTCCAGGCTCGGTTTTTTCCGTTTAACCTTCATTTCATGCTTTGTGATGCGATTCGATTAGTGGCCGCTCAAGCGCTCG